ACATGAAAGTAGTAAATGTGAGATGTCCTTACATTGTACATAGTTTTCAATTATTATGATAATACAATTTGTGTAGTAGTATAATATTGAAGAAATAAATATAATCTCTAATTTGTGAACATTATTCTTGCTAATACAATTCTGACAGCACTGAGCTACTTGAAATTCATTTTAAAAAAATCAATAAATTAAAATAATAGAATAATACATGGAGATGTATTACTATATAAAATGCAATAAATTAAAATAATACATAACGACTGTAAATCTGAGATCTCCTCAGTCTTCAATTTATGTTTTAATGTAATATAATATTGAAAAGATAAATAAAATCACAAGAACTAAGCATGAATATCAATCGTCAATTTGTAATTATAATTCTTGCTAAGTACATAAAAAGAATAATACATAGAAACAATAAATTTGTGAGCCTTCGTTTAATTAACGCCCTGTTTCGATTTCAATCACAACCGAAGGAACAATTTTTCTGGAAAAAACCACAACTTGGACGTCTAAAGTATTATATAAAAATGAATTCTAAAGAAACCCTAAATAACTGAGCATGAAAATAATGAAAAAGAAGACGCGACGAGAAAATACTGTTGCAAATCAACTCCCGCTCTTTAACCATTACAATTATCAATACATACATGTACAAAGAGTCCTCCAGACACACTGTCTTAATTACTGCGTTAATTCTACTAAAACCGAGCTCGTCGAAATTCTTGAAAAAAAATATCCTTCGGGACAGAATTTCGCTCCGAACGACCGCGATTACTTCCAGTGACCTTGAACAAGTACCACACGGCCACCGACCGTAAATAATAGTCGTCGAGTTCACACGTGGCAGAGAGAAAGACCTTTCCCTTTCCTGCAGCCTCTTCCATTCATGTTTACGATTACGAGAAATCGGAACCGGTCCCGATGATCTACGTTATTCCGTTCCGGATTATTTTCGTTAATTCGTCGATGGGCTTGTGTGGCTAGGGGCAGATTGTGATCTCCGATCGACTTTCTCGTGCCTTATCGAGAGAAAGAGAGAAAGGGAAACAGAGAGAGAGAGAGAGAGAGAGAGAAAGAGAGACAGAGAGTGTGAAAGAAAGAGAGAGAAAAAGAGACGATTGATGCGGTGATATTGTGGGGGGTAGGGGTGGGTTCAGAGTCAAAAGCCGGCCGTTATACATGACGATGCGAATAGAAACGAGGAGCGGAACTTCGTGCAATGTTGTTCCTCCGGAGACGCTTCGTTTTCGTTTCTTCGATGTCAGAGGATCGATCCGGTGCTCTCTCGAACTCCTTCTCGTGTTGCTCGATATCTCGTTAAATATTATTCACGTCGAACTCCGACCGTCCCTGAGAAAAATGCTTGACTCTGTCCGCGGATCTCCGAGCGCACTAACAAGGCAACTTTGTTAAAACTCTTGGTTTTTGACATTCGCGAAATTCTCGATATCTCCAGATGAACAGTTTAATGTGTTTCAGGGTTTCCAAAATTATGTTCTTAATGTATTTTATATTTTATCATTATTTGTCCAATGTGTTTTATTTTTCATAACTACTTTTTGTTAAGGTATCTTAGCTTTCAGAATCATTTTCTTAGTGTTTCTTATCTTTTGTAATTATTTTCCTAACGCGTCGTATTTTTTATAATTACTTTCCTCGCGTGTCTTGTTTTTCATCATTATTTTCCTAACGTGTTTTATCTTTTTATAACCATTTTGTCCATGTCCTTCGCATAGTTACTTTGTCAATGTTACGTAGTTATTTCCCTCGTGTGCCTCATTTTTCGTAATTATTTTTCTAACGTGCCTTACTTTTTATAATTATTTTCCTAACGTGTCTTATTTTCATAATAATTTTTCTAACGTGTCTTAGTTTCTACTATTATTATTATATAACTTCTTTAATGTGTTTCACTTTTCATAATTATTTTCCTAACGCGTCTCATTTTCATAATTATTTTCCCAACGTGTCTTATTATCTGGATTATTTTCCCAACGTGACGTAATTTTCATAATTACTTTCCTAACGTGTCTTATTTTTCATAATTATTTTTCTAACATGTCTTAGTCTCCGTTATTATTTTCCTAATATGTCTTGACGTGTTTCACTTTTCTATTTTTCATAACCAGTTTCTTAAAGCGTTTCGGTTTTCCTACATAATTTTCTAACATGTTTATAGCATCGGTTATAATTATTTTTCATAACTAAGTCTTCCTCGAACATCGTGTTTAAAGAATGAATTTTTAACAATTATATTAAACAAAAGTACAAAAGTATAGCATGAGACCTGATCGACGCTTGATCTGAACCATTGTTTTACATTCGTTACACTTTCCAAGATATGTGAAAGAAGAAGATATCACCGTGTGAGGGGTGGGTTTCACATACTAAAAATAACAAACTGGAGGGAGAAAAATTGTCTGGCTGTCAGACGTGTCCTGTTGTGATAAATTACCTCACATGAGATTAATTACTATTATCCTTACAATGTTATTCATTGATAGACCTTGGTTCCAGTTTTTTGGTAAAATTCTGAACTTTGAGTGAAACTATTGTATATACTAAAATTGTGGATCTACAAGATTTAACAAATCAGTCGCCTCTGTTAGTGCACTTGGAGCATACAACAAAAATGAAAGATGTATAATCCACCTCCTAGATTCTAGATCATTGTATAAACATGAGTCATCCCAATCAATGTACCTAAACAAAAATATAAAAGAAATATAAAACATATAAAAATGAACACAAATGTATCTTATAGGATAGTGGAGCCAGTTACTGTGGGATGACCAATTGCTGTGGTTTGTTTTTGGACATAATAAACTTCATAATAAACTTATTTCAAATTCTGTTATTTTGTTTACTTTTGAATAAACTCTTCCAAAATTCTCTTATTTTGTTTAATTTTAAATAAGCTCTCTCAAAATTCTCTTATTTTGTTTACTTTTAAATAAGCTCTCTCAAAATACCTTAATTTTGTTTATTTTTGAATAAACTCTTTCAACATACCTTTACTCTGTTCATTTTTTTTAATAAACTCCTTTAAAATTGTCTATTGATAATTGATAAATATAAAGTTAATTATGTTATGAAAACAAACCAAAGGCACAGCAATTAGTCACGCCACAGTAACCAGTTCCACTATCCTACGATAAAACGATGAGTCAAACATTTTCCCAATATCCACTGTTTTAGCATAGTACGTGTAACTATACATAGTGAGAGCTAGGACCATTACGGTCTTAGAGTGAGAGCACCGACGATCCTCGACGACTGGACAGAAAAAGAATGAGTGAAAGAGAGAGAGAAAGATAGTAAGAAATATATAGAATGACAGAGAGAGAGAGAAAGAAAAGTTCTCTTGCCTGGCAGGGCAAGGAGACCAGAGACCCTCCGAAGGGTTCGAGACTGGGTTTATACTTACTGTGCTCTGCGGCCGGAGTCTCGTCGACCTGAGCCTGCGTCTTCTGCCTCCGAAGAAGTGGTATGCCGCCGCTCTTTTTCGGCGCCAAGCTCGGGCACATGGCCGGCTGCACCAGTTGGATGCAGTCGGTGTGCGCGTTCGCCTTGCAGCCGCGACACCTGACGCCCTGACGGCTGTGGCCGCGCAACACCTGGCCACAGGCGTCGCAGGGGGTGATCTTCCGATAAGTGTACTCGCGCCATATGTGCCCGCCCTCCGATTCGAGACTTTTCCTATAAACAAATTCAGCTTCGTTAATTTTTCGAGCTGTTTGTTCGTTTCGTTTCTTCGGGTTGTTCGTTTCCTGAAAAGAGAAATAGGGGTGAACTATAGTGCATAGTCTGTAATGTATAGACTATACATTATATACATATACATATATGTATATATATACTATATATTATATTATATTATATTATATTATATTATATTATATTATATTATATT